TTAATGTGTCTGAATATACTGCCTGCATGTACATGAGTGCACCCATGTCATGCAATGCCGCAGAGGTCAGAAGAGGGCTTTGGATTCCCCTAGAACTGGAGTTAAAGACGGTTCATAACTACCATGTGGGTGCTGGGAATCGAACCTGGGTCCTCTGCAAGAGCAATCAGTGCTCTTAACCACTGAACCATCTCTCCAGCCTCACTCTAACAATTTTTAAAAGCCATTTTCTCAGCCAGGCAAGGCGATACATCCCTGTAATCCCAGCACTCAGGAGCCCAAGGCATTGGAGGCCAATCTACCTAGATGCTGGGGAGGGAGATCTTCAATTTTAGTAGAATGTATCACCTCACAAAGAGTCAAGCTGTAACTCAGAGTATCACAGTGATTTTATTAAAGGCAAATTAAAGTCCAATAGGCACTGAGTAAGACAGAACTAAGAGTAGTGCTCACTCTGCTAACACAATGATACAACTAGTAACAAGAGGAAGAAAATGAGAACATAGTAAAGGTTACCAAAACCAGATCAAAAAAATACTTTTCCTATATTGTTCTCCAAAATTAATTACTGCATGGTTTTCGAAATTTCAATACTGGCAGTCAACTCCAATAGTCATCACATTCTGGCTTCTTCTCTTTTTGAGACAGGGTCGTCTGGAACTTGCTATGTAGAACAGGCTAGCCTCAATCTCAGAGATCTGTCTGCCTCTGCCTCCTGAATACAGGGACTTAGGGTGCACCACCATGTCCAGGTTTACATTCTGACTTTTAGAAGCACATGGGGGTGGGGGCGCTTTCAATAGGGGAGCATTTTGTCTAGCATGCTCAAGGCCTTGGATTCAATCCCTAGCACATAGCAAGCATAAGACCCTAGGTTTAGTCCCCAAGAACAAAGAAAAAGGAACTGGTGGCAGTTCTTCTGTTAATGTCCAGCACACAGCCCCTTGCAATATACTAAATAAACGTTTCCCTTCTGTTGAAAAACATTAAGTTTGAGGGTTAGAAAAGTATTTCATTATAGGTTGCATATATCTTAATGAGGGTGGAGAATTTCGGACAGTATCTCATGTAATCAAGGCTGGCTCTAACTGAATAGGTAGATGAGGCTGGCCTTGAAACTCCTGACCCTCCTTCCTCCATCTCCCAAGTGCTGAGATTACAGATGTGTCAACACACCTGGTTGTGTAGGTTGTACATATTCTCAGGATCAGACACACAGAAGAAAACCAGTCTCCAGTTTCATTTAGTTACAATACTACTGGACACTAACTCATACCTTCAACAGACCCATCTTTGTAAGGCTTCTAGATTTAGTTTGAATGAAACAAGCACCCCAGAAGCAGTATGTGATTGGATTTAAGATACATCTTCAGCATGTCTGCCAAGGCATTTTCAGAGAAGTTTAACTAAAGAGATAAGAACAACCCTAAATGTGGGTGGCACCCCATGGCTGGGGTTCAGAATTGAATAAAAAGAGAAAGGGAGCGGGCATGGTGGTACTCGCCTTTGGTCCCAGCACGCAGGAGGCAGAGGCAGGCATATCTCTCTGTTAGTTCAAGGCTAGCCTGGTCTACATAGTGAGTTTCAGGGAGATCCTGTCTCTAAAAGACCAAAAAGAAAAACAAAGAGAGATACAGAGAGAGAGACAGACAGACAGACAGACAGACAGACCAAGCATTCATGGTCCAGTGTTTCCTGCCTGTGCATGTAATGTGATCAATGGCTCCAAGCTCACTCCTGCCCATGCCCTGTCCACCATGATGAACTATAGCCTCGAACTATGAGTAAAGTAAGTCTTTCCTCCTTAAGTTGCTTCCTATCACAGTATCAAGAAGAGTAAGAAATACAAGCCTGGCATGGTAGTGTATAGTGTATACCTTTAGTCTCAGCCCTCAGTAGGCAGAACCAGGCAGATCACTCTGAATTTGGGGCCAGCCTGATCTACATGAGAACCAAGAAAACTAGGGCTACATAGTGAGACCCTGTCTTAAAAAATTAAATAAAAATAACAAAATTACCAATACACTTTTTGTTTTAGTATTGCTCCTTGGAGAATATCATAGGTGAATGAATACAATGTATTTGATCATAACCACCCCCATTCTTCCTCAATGAACTTTTTGTTTTGAGACAGCCTCACTATGTAGCCCTGGCTGGCCTAGAACTCACCTTGTAAATCAATCTGGAACTCACAGAATCTGCCTGTCTCTGCCTCCCAAGGCTAAAATTAAAGATATGTGTCACCCTGCTTGGATTCAATGAACTTTTTTTCGGTTTTGAGACAGGGTCTCCCTGTAACCCCATGGGGCCTGGAACTTGCTATGTAGGCTCAACTGGCCTAGATCTCAATGAACTTTTTAAACTCTCATCACTTTTATTAGAAAACAGATGCACCTTAGCAATACTCACTTCAATACAGTATTTAAATGTTAGAATTCATCTCAAGGTCACTAAATTTCAATGGTAAAATATTACACACTGAACAATTATAATGATTTTAACTTTCCTCAAATATTCATTACATCAAATACTAAAACCGGAATTTTCAAAACACATTTTTTTATTTAATTTTTTTTTTATTATTGTATATGAGTGCTATTCCTGCATGTGTGTAAGCACACCCATGCCATGAACAGAAGAAGGTGTCAAATCCCTTGAAACTGAAATTAGGGATGATTTGTTAGCTGCTATGTGGGTGCTAGAAGTCGAACACCAGATCTTCTACAAGAGCAGCTAGCGCTCTTAACTGCTGAGCCATCTCTCCAGTCCCCAAAATACTGGTTTGTAATCACTTTACAAATGCTCTTAGAGAATAGATACTATTTAACAATAGTAACTCAATTTGTGTACTTTACCACAATATTTAGATACAAAGGACAATCTGCTTTTTAAAACATTATAATCGTAATTCACATGATTCATAGATTCACAGTAATTTTTTGTTATTCCCCAAATTAATAATTAAATCTCACTGTACCTCTACAAGCAAGGTTCCTACCTGTCTACAGAACGGCCAGGCCCCACTCCAAGTTCTGGACGTGCACTAGGTAAGAGGTAAGACAATCTGTCCATCACTGAGGATGCTACGGGTAAGGCAGCAACATTCTGATTTATTTTCTTGAGTTCATTTACAATGGCACTGGCAATGGACTTCAACACATGATGAGGAAGATGAAATGTAACTGTGGCCCACTGAAAGAAAATGAGAATATAAATAAAAGAAAATGTACTCAACAGGTTAACTTTATCAATTAAAGAATGATGTATCAAGCCTATAAAGTCAGTTTATTTCATCAGCTTATCATTTACAGCAGGGATTTTTCCATTAGGTAAAAAAGTTAAATCTTTTATTCAAAAATGCCAAGATATAGAAGCAAACCATGTCTCTATCTGTGAATGAATGGATAAAATATGGTACGTGTATGAATGCAATGGAATATTACACAATGTTCTAAAAAGATGGCATCTCCATCATTCACAACAAATTGGTTAAACATGGAGGATATTGTGATAATTGCAATAGGCCAGGCATAGAAAGACAAATATATATGACGTTAAACATAGAATTTATACAGTGTAACTCACAGAACCAGGAAGTAAAATGATAATTATTAGAGGCTGATGTGAGAGGTGGGGATGCATAGAAAGACAAATATATATGATGTTAAACATAGAATTTATACAGTGTAACTCATAGAACCAGGAAGTAAAATGATAATTATTAGAGGCTGATGTGAGAGGGTGGGGATGCTGGTCAAAGGGCAGGAAGTGGAAAGAAAAATGAGATCTAGAGATCTATCTGGTGATTACCTATTTTCATCTTTTATTTCAGTGATGCTATTCTACATTGTACAGGCCAGACAATATGAACCTACTATGTATTTCAAAACTAAGAAGTACAAATTTCAACCATTCTTACCAAAAAGAACTATTAACTGGGAAGGTGATATGTGTATATGTCATTTAGTTTTAATCTCTCTACAATGTATACATATATATATAAATATCAGACTGCATTCCATAAATATATACACATACTAGGTTTTTAATTAATGTTTTAAAAAATGTCTAAATAAGCCAGGCATGGTGGCGCATGCCTTTAATCCCAGCACTTCGGAGGCAGAGGCAGGCCGATCTCTGTGAGCTCAAGGCCAGCCTGGTCTACACGGTGAGTTCCAGGACAGCTGGGGCTACAGGGAGACCCTGTCTCAGAAAGACCAAAAAAAAAAACAAAAAAATGTCTAAATGAGCTCAGAGGTCAAGCGCTTGCTCAGCATAAACAGAGACCAAGATTCAATTCCCCGCACCACAAAGAAAATTAACTGAAACCTCAACTACTGTGAAAAAGACAACTTAGAACAAGATAGCAGCTAACTGTGAAGGGTCACAACTGTAATTCTAGTACTCCGGAAGCTGAGGCAGGAGGATCACCATGAGTTCCATGTCGTATATAATAAGTTCCAGAGTAGCTTATGTTACAAAATAAAGCTGAGCTGTCCGGGCTGAAGAGATGACTCAGCAGTTAAGAACACTGGTTGTTCTTGCAGAAGACCTCGGTTCAAATCCCAGCATCCACATGGCAACTAACAACTGTCCATAACTTCAGTCCCAGGGGATCCGACAGCCTCCTCTGACCTCCAAGGGCATGCTTGACACGGGTGCACTTACCTACATGCAGGCAATACACACATACACATAAAATATAAATAATAAATAAATAAAAAATTACACAAACAAAATAAAACTGTCTCAAGCACTCTCTCCTGCCCACAAAAGGAAACACAATATAGCAACATATCTTCTTAGATAGCTCACCAAAATTAAGAAGGACAACTCCTTTAATCCCACCACTCAAGAGGCAGAGGCAGGTGAATCTCTGTGAGTTCAAGGTCAGCCTGGTCTACATAGTGAGCTCCAGGCCAGCTGCAGCTACAGGGAAACTCAAAAAAAAAAAAAAAAAAAAAAAAAAAAAAAGACCAAGAGGGAATACTTCATCTTGTACAAACAATGTTAGGCACAAAGTAGGTATTCTGTTCAGATCTCCATTTTTAAAAATGTAGTTGGACAGTTAGCATTACAGCGCCACGTATTTAGTTTGTCATCACAACACAGCAGTAGTAACTACAAGCAAAGCCTTTGCAGTCACAGACATGAACTCCCAGCCCAACTCTATCATCAATAACATCTAATAGATGTTAATGTTATTTAGTATTACAATATTACTAATCAAATTGTACTGCTGGAAAATAAAGGCAGGAGGGAGGGGATCTGGGCTACAAAAGTGCTAAGAATTATTCTCCCAGAGAAATATATCTATAAATGAACTCCCTCTTCACATTCTGTCCCCAATCAGTTACACTGTTTCTATTCTGTCCAGTGCACTCTAGGCACCCTAGCATAATACCATCAACCTATATAACTAGAAAACTGTGGTGAAAAAAAGGATTTAAATTTCAAAAAAAAAGGGGGGGGCTGGGGGGCTGGAGAGATGGCTTAGCAGTTAAGAGCACTGACTGCTCTTCCAGAGGACCCAGGTTCCATTCCCAGCACCAACATGGCAGCAGCTACAAACCCTCCTTAACTCCAGTTCCAGGGGAATCCAAAGCTCTCTTCTGACCTCCACAGCACTGCACAACACGGGTGCACTCACACACATACAGGCAATACACTCATACACATAAAAAAATAGTAATAAAAATGAAGCTAATTAACAACAACAAAAAAAAAAAAAAGAGCTGGGCATGGTGGCACACATCTTTAATCACAACACTCAGGAGGCAGAAACAGGTAGATCTCTGTGAAATCAAGGTCAGCCTAGTTTATGTAGCAAGTTCCAGGAAAGTTTCGGCTACAGGGAAACCCTTTCGAAAAGGGGGGGGGGGATTAATTGCAAAAAAAAAAAAGAATGAAGACAGGTCATAGCTTAATGGTTGGGTGCGTGCCTAGCCTATATTCAGCCCTAGGTGAAATTCCCAGCACCACAAAAGTCAAAAAAAAAAAAAAAAAATTCTTTTTTGTCTTTTAAAGGCATGCGCCACCCCACCCACCAAAAGTAAAATTTTTTTAATTTTTTTTGTTTTTTAATTTATGTGTATTTGTGTATCGCCTGCATGGAGGCAAGTGCACCAGTGTCGTTCAATGCCTGCAGAGGTCAGAAGAGGCTGTTGGATCCCCTGGGACTGGAGTTATGGACAGTTGTTAGCTGCCATGTGGGTGCTGGGATTTGAACCTGGGTCTTCTGCAAGAACAACCAGTGTTCTTAACTGTTGAGCCATCTCTCCAGCCCCAAAAGTAAAAATTTTTAAAAGAGCTACTAGGTCTGGGGTGATGGCTCAGCAGTTAAGCAACTAGCCTAAGGACCAGGAGATCTGATCCCCAGAAACCTATACAAATGGAGGGTAGGTAAGGAGGCCCACCTACAATTCCAGCCGGGGGGGTAAGATGGGGAATCCCCAGAGCAAGCTGACTACTGAAGACTAGCCATATCAGTGAACACTGAGAGACCCTGCCCTACTTATTAAGGTGGAAGATTGATGGAGAATGATTACCTGGGGCCTCTCAATACATGAGCACACATATGAATGCACACCCACATGGGTGCACACAACACATACATAAACATGCGTGCACATAGACATTCACATCACACCCAAAAATTATGGAAAAAGGAAAAAAAAAAAGAAAATCTTTTACCTAGTTTCTAAACTTAGCCTATTCACAGATGAGAAGTCTACTAATTGCAAGAGTCCTCAGTGCCACACAAGAGGAGACTGGCTTCCACTGGAACCCCAGTTACTATAAATCCTAACTCCATTTTTTCCATGGAAGGCCTTATAGGTCCTGCGTGTGGGGTGGGGAATCTTTTAAAGACTTCAAGAAAGTGACATTGAACTAAAACATCAATGTGGTGACAGAAGTGAGGACTCATGATGGTCAAGTGATTAACAGTTTCTCAGTTCTAATGGTCTGGTCAGAAGTGAGGACTCATGATCGTCATATGATTAATGGTTTCTTGGTTCTAAAGGTCTGGTGATGTCATTCATGGCTTTTCAGTTCTAATAACCCTAACTTCTTTCTCTGTTCCTCCAATCCCAGTGAGAGCTGCTTTCTGCAGTTACCAGCTCTGTCACAGTAGGTTTTCTTTTTGCTGTTTAGCTCTCTAACACTTCTTTTTCTTCAATATTTTATTTATTATTTTTATTTTATGTGTATGAGTGTTATGCCAACATGTAGATAAGTGCACCCGTGTTGTGCAATGCCTGCAGAGGACAGAAGATGTTGTCGGATTCCCTGGAACTGGAATTATGGACAGTTGTTAACTGCCATGTGGGTGCTGGGATTCAAACCCGGGTCTTCTTCAAAAACAGAACTGCTGAGCCAGCAGCTCTCTAACACTTCTTACATCAACTTCTAATAAATTCCCTCTGCTGAAATTCAGAGTATAATTTCTGCTTTCCTATACAAAATGTCTCATAAATGGAGCTCTAACCTAATAAAACTGTAATAAAACTACAAACAAAATTCAATGCAATATTAAGAATAATTCAGATGTTAATAAGGACTGACATGAAAGCATACCAAAGACACAGCCTGAGTAAAGACAGATCACATTATTTTGGATCACACTCTGCTTGAAAGAAATTTAGAAATGTAAAAATTTACTTTTAGGAAAATGGCTTTTAATTTATACCTTGTTATCTGTCATTATCTGTCTTTACAATTTAGAGAAAGTCTGAGAATGATATAAATTAATGAATTATACCCAAGAATCCAAGAACCATCCCCTCCCCCACATTTCCCAGCAATGCCCCAAAGTAAATGTCGGAGAAAATGCAGGATATGCTGACACAGGCCTGTAGTTCCAACAGTCAGGAGACTGAAACAAGGTCAATAAATTCAAGGCTAGCCAAGGCTGCACAGTGAGGATTTGTCTCAAAAGCACAAAATGAAAACAAGAAGAAAAGGAGAAGAGAAGACTAAGTGGCCCAGCCAAATGGCTCAGCAGGGAAAGGCTTTTGCCAACAAGTCTGATGACCAGAGTTCAATCCCCAGAATCAACATGGTAGGAGAAAACCAACTCCTCTACATGTGTACTATAGCAATCATGCAACCACAAACATACACAATAAATACAACACAATTTCGAAGACATGTCTCCATTCTTGTCTAAGCCCCTAAGCTAAGCAAAGCTCCTCAGCCAAGAGGCATCAGGGAAGACTCACAGAAGCCTTGGGGGGGGGGGTGCAATATGCAAAACAGCTGACACAAATCAATGGTAAACTTTGGAACAGACAGCTTTTGGCTGGAAATAAATATAACTTAGTGGTAGAGCACTAAGCTAGTATATGTGAAGCTCTGGGTTCAATCTCAGCACAAAAAATTTAAAAGGTTTAACTTGAAAACATCATATACATACATTATGTTTCTTAAAAGAGCAAAATCTACAATTAGAACATTCCTAAAGACAAAAAAGAGAAAAGCAAAAGGATGGAGGTATTTATTCTACTACAGCCACAGACTATTTAAAATCTCTTACCTTAGCAACTTTGTGGTTTGCTGCAGTCTCATGAGATGTATTTTTTAAACCATCTTTGAGCTGTGTGATAAACAAATCATAACCCTCTGTGCTAGAAATATCTACCTTTTCTACACATGCTGATAGGAGCTGTTGTGCCTGGAAAAAAAAAAAGATGATCACCAACACTTAGCTACAATAAAACAAAAGTAAATTCAGACTCATTAGGTAACTTGGTGACAACTATAACTATACAAAGCTAAACTTACAATTACTTCTACAGAAGCCTAATTATTTAAATGAGATAAAGCAATGTGTTCAATGCAGTACCCAGAGGGTAAAACAGCAATACACAGAAATTGTCATAAATCAAGAAATATAGACAAGCTAAACCATGAGCAAAAATGAAATATTAAATCAAAATTTTAAAAGATAAATGTGGAGCACAGTTTGGTGTCTCACATCTTTAATGCCGGCAGAGGCAGAGGCAGAGGCAGGTGGAACTCCTGTGATTTCACCAGCTTGGTCTACATAGCAAGTTTCAGGCCAGCTAGGGCTACAGGAAGACTGTCTCAAAAAAATAAATAAATAAATAAATAAATAAATAATTGTGAAGTCTTCCAGTAAGCAATAAGCACTTAAGTACACACACAAAAATGCAAAGGCCCTCTACAATGCTACCAACATATTCAACTATAATTCTTCAACAGAAACCCATGGTTGATAAAAGGAAAACAATACATTTGCAGTCATCAAACCAAACCTAGGACCCCATGCTTTAGGAAGACAGCAACAAAACTAATTTGATGCAGTAAATGCCTAGAATAGCGGAATGTTTACAGAGACTATAATGTACCGCCAAGCATGGTGGCGCACACCTTTAACTCCAGTACTCAAAGGAGATAAGTGGATCTCTGTGGGTTCAAGGCCAGTCTGGTCTACAAAGCAAGTTACAGGCCAGCTGGAGCTACTGGGAAGAATTATAGTTGAATATGTTGGTAGCACTGCAGAAGGCCTTTGCATTTGTGTGCGTGCGTGTGTGTGTGTGTACTTAAGTGCTTAATGCTTACTGGAAGACCTCACAATTAGCTTTTTTTTTTTTTTTTTTGAGACAGTCTGCCTCAAAAAAAGACCAAAAACAAAAACAAAAACATAAAGGCTATTTAATATGTAAAGAGTGCTTATGGACTGACATGACTCAGAGGGTTAAGGTGCTTGCCAACAAGCCTTAGTCCCATTCCTGAGACCTATGTGGTAGGAGAGAACAGACTCCAAAAGGCTGTCCTCTGACCTCCATATGTGTGCCATGGCATAAGTGTGGGCGCCCAGCCTACAAATAAATATAAGTTTAAAAATCTTTACAAAATGTATTTGTGAAACTGCCATGTAAGTGGATACATTTTTTTCTTCTCAGTAATAAGAATCAAATTCAGGGCTTCCTAAGTGCTCCAGCAGCTAAGCTATATCTCCCAAAACCCTAAGTGAATATATTCTATCACTTAAAAAAAAAAAAAAAAACATTGAGGGGCTGGAGAGATGGTACAGAGGTCAAGAGCATTGGCTCCAAGCACCCATATGGCAGCTAATAACCATTTGTAACTCCAGTCCCAGGGGATCCAACACCCCTGTCTGTCCTCTGCAGGCACTGCACACATGGTGCACTTACATACATACAGACAAAACACACACATACAATAAAAATAAATAATAAATTTTTTTTAATGCTGTAATTTTTTTTTTTTAAAAAAGACAGGCATTGTGCCACATGCCTGCAATTCCAGAATTTGGGAGGCAGAGGGAGGGGTATGCTCTGAGTTCAAGGCCAGTCTGGTCTACACAGTCCTCCCTCCTTTACCTATGACTGAGAAATGGTGGGACATGGGACAACTGTCTACAACTTACCAGCTAACCTAACTGTTGAGGTTGACAGCGTTAGCCCTAGACTGTGACTACACACAAGCCAACTCCTTTATTGACTTGCTATATTATGGAGTCTTTGTCACAGGTGTTTAACCTGTGCTTAAAGAACAGTTCACACCTAAAATAACATTTCAACAAACACCAATTAATTATTGAGAAATTATTATTATGAGAAAGACAAGCATTTGAAGGTGGGATTCATGAGTCAATTCTTTGTTTTTACAAGAGTAGTTATACAATGTCCATAAAGAACAACTTAATTTCATTCCCTATCCAGTAGATCAGGGATTACCTTGTATTATGAAATATACTGTACTCATTTCAACTTACCTCTGTAACGGGCAGTTCAAGCTGTACCACATCATCCTGCTTTGAAACTGGAGTTTGTAGAGCAGTGTCTAACAACAAGATTCCATTAAGGTCCTTCCTACAACCTACTGCATAATCATCCACAAATATAACTTTATCCACAGCAGAAATATACTGACATTTCACCTGTCCACCTGGTTTAGCTGTTAAAAGAACAAAAATTCAACATTTAAGATTTTAAGACCAACAGTTCATTAAAAATATATGTTCAAGCCGGGAATGGTGGTGCACACCTTTAATCCCAGGGGCAGAGGCAGGCAGATCTCTGTGGGTTCAAGGCCAGCCTGGTCTACATAAAAAGTTCCAGGTCAACTGGGGCTACAGGGTGACCCTGTCTCAAAAGAAAAAAAAAAAAAAAACTAAACAAAAACAAACAAACAAACATATATACAAAAAAATAATCCTGGGCTGGATTCCAGTTGGGCTGCGGAAAACTGCTATGAAGGCCATGATTGTAACAACTGATTGGAGTATTAACTATAAAATCCCAAAGGGAAATTAATATTAAAGCCTGGCAACTACAATGCTGCTGTAGAAGGGATTAACATTGGTCTTAGAATGTCACACATGCACTCAAGGCCAGTCTGGTCTACTTATCAAATTTCAGGCCAGACAGAGCTACATTTTTTTTTTGAGACCCTGTCTCAAAAAATAAAGAGCCGTGGTGGTACATGCCTTTAATCCCAGCACTTGGGAGGCAAAGGCAGGTGAATCTCTGTGAGTTCAAGGCCAGCCTGGTCTACATAGTAAGTTCCAGGCCTGCTGGGGCTACAGGGAAAGCCTGTCTCAAAAAGACCAAAAAATAAAAAATAAAAAAAAATTTAAAAAAGGGCTGGAGAGATGACTCAGCAGATAAGAGCACTGGCTGCTCTTTGCAGGACAATTGTTTAGTTCCCAGCATGCACAAGGCAGCTAATAATCAACCGTAACTCTGGTTCCAGGAGTTCCAACACCCTCTTCTGTCCCCCACAAGGCATTGTACAACACAGGTACACTTACAGGTAAAACACTCATACACATAAAATAAAAATGAACAAAAATTTTTAAGCAAATAGCCAGATGTAATGGCACACACCTGTAATCCCAGCACACAGGCTAAAGCAGGAGAATGATCACAAGTTCAAGGCCAACCTGTGCTACAAGACACTGTCTCAAGTGCTGGGAGTTGGGGGGGGGGGGACAACTCTGCATCTACATGAGAGATGAGTAAAAGTATTAAAATATCTAAAACTGGTTGAACATGACAAGTTTTTTGGTTTTTTTGGTTTTTTTGAGACAGGGTTTCCCTATAGCCCCAGCTGTCCTGGAACTCACTATGTAGACCAGGCTGGCCTTGAACTCACAGAGATCCACCTGCCTCTGCCTCTTGAATGCTGGGATTAAAGGCGTGTGCAACCATGCCCAGCGACCAAGTTCTTTTTTTTTTACCATACTACTCTTACAAAGTAATCTTTTCCCCTGGAAGGATGGGGTGGAAGACAAGGGTCTATATATACAGAAATTCAACCAGTTTTTCCAAAATCCTTTGTTAAAGACTATCCTTTCCCCCAAAATAATGGCTTTGACCCCTTGTCAAAATTATAAACCATATATAAGAATTTATTTCTAGGTTCTCTGTATTTAATTTCATCACAATACATCTGTCTTCACAACAGTACCACACTGCTTGTATTTCCAATTCTAAGAACCAAACCCAGAGCTTGTGCATATTAGCCAAGTGCTGTACCACCACACCATGACCCCTGCCTCAGTATTATTTTGCTTACTGTAGCTTTGCAGTAAGTTTTAAAATCAGGAAGTATAAATACTCCAAACCTTCCTACTCAATGTTTTTACTTTTTCAAGATTGCTTTGGATATTCAGAGTTCCTTGAGATAATCTATGAATTTTAGGCTAGGTTTTTTGATTTCTGGAAAAACTTCATTAGGATTTTGACAACTGCAATGACTATACAAATCACTTCAGGTGGTACTATAGTCTGGGGATACAGAAGGTCCACGTATTACAGGCTTCCTTCCCAATGAAGGACTACTGGGAGGTAGAGGAACCTTCAGACTATGAGACCACAATCCACTTCAAGCCCGTGAAAGGGACTGTGGTACTTTCTCACTTTATTCCCCAGCCAGGACAAGAACTGTTCTGCTCCACCACATATTTTGTGCCATCAGGTCCAAAGCAAGAAGATCATACTGAAACCTATAAAACTAGAAGTCTAAATAAGTTAAGACTTTTCACTTTTTAAGCCGATTATCTCAGATATTTGTTACAGTAACAGAAAGCTGTCTTTGCATCAGTACCACACTGTATTTGCAATTCTAACAATCAAACCCATAAAGCTAATAGAACTTGCTTATTTCTTGATTTCACAGCTTCTTTATAAAGTTAAGCATAGACTTACTAAAATGACTGTGTAATCCCACATCTACATTAGCCTAGCGACATAGAGCCTTATAAAAAAATGTAATCAAATATTTATTTTTATTTTTTAAATATTTTATTTATTATTTTTATTTCATGTGTATGTGTGTATTGCCTGCATGTATGGAAGTGCACCCCTGTGGTACAATGCCTGCGGAGGTCAGAAGAGGTTGGATCCCCTAGAACTGCAGTTACGGACAGTTGTTAGCTGCCATGTGGGTGCTGGGATTCGAACCCAGGTCTTCTGCAAGAACATTCAGTGTTCTTAAGCACTGAGCCACCCCTCAAGCCCAGTAATCAAATATTTATAGTAGTTCTATTCATAATCAATAAACATCCTTCAAAATGACTGGCTAAATAAATAGTATATAACACACAGTAGAATACTTACTCCTCAGCAACAAAATCACAGTTGATATGTATAGCAACTTAAATGAGTCAAGGCATTATCAAAGTTTCATGCTGGTATAGTGCAATGGTCGAGTACTTGCCTACCTTACACTAAAGCTCTGGGTTCAATGCTCAGCACCACCAAAAGAAAAGTTACATATTTTATGATTCCATTCTATAACACTATAGAAAATATAAAACTATGGTACTTAAATTACAATGTAACTCAAGCTAACCTCAAACTGTGGCAATCCTCCTGCCTCAAGCCACCTAAGAATTGGGATGGTAGACATGAGTCACCACACCCAGCTGAGAAGTTTTCAAAGTATAATCAGCACTGAAAATTTTCCACAAATAGTGTTTATTCTAAAGACCTACTCTTACTCCCTTCAAGGGAGTATGGGGCCTTTCCACATGCTGACTCTGTCACAGCTAAATCTCTCAGCACCTCAAAACACAGGTTATATTCTTCATGACAGTGACCTGGCTGAATTTAAGGACTAACTTCTTTATCTGATGTTGTTCAAACAATCCTTAACCATCTGTAAACAAATCTCCACTACAGCACAAAGTTGCCAAGGTGAGAAGTGACTGGGCTGCAAAGTGACACAATTTTATTTGGAGTATGTGCCCATGTGGATGTCTATTTGCACCTCATGCCTGAAATACTACTTGGTCTTAATACAGATAACACACATTTCCAGAATGCCACACAGACCCTTCATCATTCCTCACATAGCCTTCATTTCAAGTCAATCCAACTCAAATTCCACCCAAACACGATGAAAATCCATCTAGCTTTTTCCATCTACTACAGCAGCAGAGAGGCCAACAGAAAGTTCCCTGGGTATCTATGCTGCTGCTCTCCCCTCATCAAACTGCAACTGGTGAAATGCCAACACAGACCCACCCAGGCCACCTAACAACACAACACCCCATTCTCAAGACAACATGAATGTTCTCTATCATCACCTTTCATAATGTGTGTGTGTGTGTGTGTGTGTGTGTGTGTGTATGAGCTCTTCCCGGTGTGTGTGTGTGTGTGTGTGTGTGTGTGTGTGTGTGTGTGTATGAGCTCTTCCCATTAAGTCATGGCCTACAGGAAAGCAAATACTTCAACTATTGAATCACCAAGACTTCATGCACACAATTTCTTTTAGTAAGTCAACCACTCTATATACAGATTTTTAAAACTTTTTTAATATAATACACTATGCTCCAGCAAGGTTAAATACAATACACTCAGCTTTTAATACACCAAGAAACAAAGACATTTTTAGGAATGAAACTAGCTGATCTAGTGATAAAGATAGCCCAGCAGTTGCTATCCTCCCTTATCCTTTCTTCCCTCCTCCCTCCTGTCCCCAGTATGAGGTCATTTTCCTCAGCAATAGTGGTATTTTGATTGAATAAGGCAAAGAGAGGAAGTGGAGGGAGGGCATTGAGGGAGAGGAAAAAGGAGGGGAGGGAGGGAGGGAGAGGGAGAGAGGAGAAAGGGAGAATAAATGAATGAACGAACAAATGATCAGAGAACTTAGTCGATTCAAAAATCAACCAAAATAAATAAATAAAGGGGAGAGGAGAATAAAATAGAAAACAGGCAGGAAGGGCAGCACACACCTGTAATCCCAGTACTTGGGAGGCTAAGGCAGGAGGAACATGAATCTGAGATCAGTCTAGGCTACACAGCTAGACCCTGTATCAAAAATAAAGGTAGGGGACTGGAGAGATGATTCAGTGGTTAAAAGCACTGGTTCCTCTTGCAGAGACCCCAGGTTCAGTTGCCAGCACCCACGTGGTGGCTAACAACTGTCCTAACTCCAGTTCTAGGGGATCTGACACCTTCTTCTGACCTACAAGGCACTGCACAACAGAAGTGCACTTATACAATGCAGGCAGTATACTCATGCACATAAAATAAAAAGAATAAATAAAATATTTAGAACATAAATAGATAAATAAAGGCCTAGAGATGATGGCTCGGGAGTTAAGAATACTGGCTGCTCTTGAAGAGGACCAGGATTCAGTTCCCACTACCCACATGGCAGCTGATGTCTGTAGCTCCACTTCTAGAAGATCCACTGCCCTCTTCTGACCTCAGGAATAGCATGTTGTAAGTGCACACACATACATGTAAACAAAACACTCATACACATACACACACACATACACTTATATGAATATGCGTGTGTGTGTGTGTGTGTTACTCTCATGTGGAGGTCATAGGACAAATGTTTTTGGGAATTGCTTCTTTTCTACCTTGTTGGAGACAAGGCCTGTTCTCAGCTGCATAATCTGGCTAGTCAACCAGGAAGCTTCTGGAAAGACTTCTGTT